TATTCTCTCCGTTTTGAAGTCAACGGGGTTTTGTTTGTGTAATACGTAACCTTCATTTAGTATTTAGTATTTTAAGGCTATATGATGCTTTGATATAATCTTTCTAAATTAAAATAGAGTTAAAAACGGATTCAAATCGAACTAAATACATCAATATATAATCAATTCAATTACGTCGAATATTGTCTCCGTTTTGAAGTCAACGGGGTTTTGTTTGTGTAATACGTAACCTTCATTTAGTATTTAGTATTTTAAGTCTATATGATGCTTTGATATAATCTTTCTATATTAAAACAGAGTTAAAAACGGATTCAAATCGAACTAAATACATCAATATATAATCAATTCAATTACGTCGAATATTGTCTCCGTTTTGAAGTCAACGGGATTTTGTTTGTGTAATACGTAACCTTCATTTAGTATTTAGTATTTTAAGTCTATATGATGCTTTGATATAATCTTTCTATATTAAAATAGACTTAAAAACGGATTCAAATCGAACTAAATACATCAATATATAATCAATTCAATTACGTCGAATATTGTCTCCGTTTTGAAGTCAACGGGGTTTTGTTTGTGTAATACGTAACCTTCATTTAGTATTTAGTATTTTAAGGCTCTATGATGCTCTGATATAATCTTTCTAAATTAAAAGAGAGTTAAAAACGGATTCAAATTGAACTAAATACATCAATATATAATCAATTCAATTACGTCGAATATTGTCTCCCTTTTGAAGTCAACGGGGTTTTGTTTGTGTAATACGTAACCTTCATTTAGTATTTAGTATTTTAAGTCTATATGATGCTTTGATATAATCTTTCTATATTAAAACAGAGTTAAAAACGGATTCAAATCGAACTAAATACATCAATATATAATCAATTCAATTACGTCGAATATTGTCTCCGTTTTGAAGTCAACGGGGTTTTATTTGTGTAATAGGTAACCTTCATTTAGTATTTAGTATTTTAAGTCTATATGATGCTTTTATATAATATTTCTCTATTAAAATAGAGTTAAAAACGGATTGAAATCGAACTAAATACATCAATATATAATCAATTCAATTACGTCGAATATTGTCTCCGTTTTGAAGTCAACGGGGTTTTGTTTGTGTAATACGTAACCTTCATTTAGTATTTAGAATTTTAAGTCTATATGATGCTTTGATATAATCTTTCTATATTAAAACAGAGTTAAAAACGGATTCAAATCGAACTAAATACATCAATATATAATCAATTCAATTACGTCGAATATTGTCTCCGTTTTGAAGTAAACGGGGTTTTGTTTGTGTAATACGTAACCTTCATTTAGTATTTAGTATTTTAAGTCTAAATGATGATTTGATATAATATTTCTATATTAAAATAGAGTTAAAAACGGATTCAAATCGAACTAAATACATCAATATATAATCAACTCAATTACGTCGAATATTTTCTCCGTTTTGAAGTCAACGGGGTTTTGTTTGTGTAATACGTAACCTTCATTTAGTATTTAGTATTTTAACTCTATATGATGCTTTGATATAATCTTTCTATATTAAAATAGAGTTAAAGACGGATTCAAATCGAATTAAATACATCAATATATAATCAATTCAATTACGTCGAATATTCTCTCCGTTTTGAAGTCAACGGGGTTTTGTTTGTGTAATACGTAACCTTCATTTAGTATTTAGTATTTTAAGGCTATATGATGCTTTGATATAATCTTTCTAAATTAAAATAGAGTTAAAAACGGATTCAAATCGAACTAAATACATCAATATATAATCAATTCAATTACGTCGAATATTGTCTCCGTTTTGAAGTCAATGGGGTTTTGTTTGTGTAATACGTAACCTTCATTTAGTATTTAGTATTTTAAGTCTATATGATGCTTTGATATAATCTTTCTATATTAAAATAGAGTTAAAAACGGATTCAAATCGAACTAAATACATAAATATATAATCAATTCAATTACGTCGAATATTGTCTCCGTTTTGAAGTCAACGAGGTTTTGTTTGTGTAATACGTAACCTTCATTTAGTATTTAGTATTTTAAGTCTATATGATGCTTTGATATAATCTTTCTACTTTACAATTTTCTCGTGAATTGAATAATACAGTTAATATCCATGTTCCAATCATAATTTCAACATTGTTTAAGAAGCATGCTCATGGAGGTTCAACAAGTGGTAGACGCTATATTCATCGAGATAGAAAGAAACGTCATGATGTAATTATTAAAGATTATTTTAAAGGTGAGCAATCAAAGTATACACCTGAGCATTTTCGGCGACGATTTCGAATGGATGTGGAATTATTTACTCGCATTTTGGAAGGAATTCAAAAACATGATAGTTATTTCTTTACAAAGTTTGATGCAACTGGAAAAGAAGGATTAAGTCCTCTACAAAAAATGATAGCTGCCGTACGGATGATTGCCTACGGGTGTCCAGTTGATCTTTTAGATGAATATATCCAAATTGGAGAAAGCACCGCTATTGAAAGCCTAAGGCATTTTTGTGATGCTGTCATAAGTCTTTTTGGAGAAGAATATTTGAGAAAACCAAACGAAAATGATATTTTAGCTTTGCTTCAAGAAGCAGAAGATCGTGGTTTTCCTGGGATGCTAGGAAGTCTGGATTGTATGCATTGGCATTGGAAAAATTGTCCAACCGCTTGGCATGGTACGCATACAAATGGTTTTAAACGAGTTCCCACTCTCATACTAGAGATTGTAGCTTCAAAGAATTTGTGGATTTGACATGCATTCTTTGGTATGGCTGGTACTAATAATGACATAACTGTTTTGGATAGATCTCCACTATTTGATGATATTATTAATGGTGTTTCTCTGCCATGTAGCTATGTAGTGAAAGGTCATCATTATCATATGGGGTATTATCTCACTGATGGAATATACCCACGATATGCCACATTAATGCAATCTATCTCTCAGGCTTCTTCTCTTAAAGAGAAAAATTTTTCTGAGCGACAAGAAGCTACTAGAAAGGATGTGGAGCGTGCGTTTGGAGTTCTTCAATGTAGGTGGCAAATTGTCAAAGGTCGGGCACGTATGTGGAAGGAAATGGATTTGAGGAAGATAATGAAGACTTGTATCATCTTACATAATATGATTATTGAACCGCTTGCAGGAAGGTGGGTTTAAAAAAACCTCATTCACATAATTAATCAAACAAGAATACAATTTCAGATTAAATAAAGAAATTGCAAAACTAAGAAAGTCAGTGAATTTGTTGGGTGGTCGGGTTAGCACCCATCATGGCATCTGTAATTCATTCTTAAATTAAAAAGAAAAAGTTAAAACTTAACCTGCTGTCTCAGGTCCGAAGATGCGAGGACCTCTTTGGCTTTGAGGGATTGCTTTGAAATTGCAGAATAGAACTCTTTGCTTCAGAAAAAAACTCTTTTGCTTCGGAAATTGGAGAAAAGGACTTGTTGCTTCCGAAATCGCAGAAGATATCTCTCAATCGTGTGCAATTGAGAGTTGGCGGGTAGTTTTTTCAATTACCGCCAAAAAGCCTAAAACCTTTTATTTTTTTGCTGACTCACGTAGTGTAACAGCCTTTCCAAGATCAGAAAGAGGTCCAGACATTGTGAATTTTTTTTATTTCCAACTCAGCATTATACGCAATATACTCCCTCCGATCCTATTTTATCTTCCAAATAGGTTTGACACACAATTTAAGATAGTGGGTATTATGTGGTGGAGAGTTGTGCAGATGAGAGAGAAATGTGTAAGAAATGTTGTGAACCACAAATTCTTTACTAAAAATGGAAAGTGGAAGTTTTAATTGGAACGGACGAAAAAAGAAAGTTGGAAGTTTTAATAGGAACAGAGGGAGTAGATAGTTTCATTGGAGACCACATTTTTACCCAACTTTCTATTTTGCCCAGGTGGCAATGCTTTTTTCTCCATTGCAATGCTTTCTAGTCCATCTAAATTATGACACTTGTCACATAATTAGAAAGTTTCTATCCACATTATACGTAGTGGAGTGGACTAGAAATAAAGATAAGAAGGAATCCTCCAATTCATAAAGTCTAAAGGCTTAAATTAGGTATCCATGTGGCATTTATTATATTAAAATAATTCTAAAATATGGGCACCAAATTTATCACATTATTTTTAACGTGAACTTTTATTCATTAGTTTCCATTACATTCTATACTTCTTTACTGTCATTCCATAGATTGCTCCCTCTCCTTCACAAATTTATGATCAGATCATTCTTCCTTCAACGTCTGCAGCTGGGTTGATCAATCTTAAAAATCTTAATCTACAAATTAATCGCTCCCGTTTCATTAAAAAAAGATCTCAAACTTTTGCTGAAGAAAAAATAAATATTTTTTGCCATATAAAACATGTGTAGAGATTGTTATATACTCCGTATTAATGATGGTATCGGAAGGCCGGAAATTAACCGCCGTCCGGTCGGCTGATACAATTTAACTGCCAATTGAATTTTGAACTTAAATTTAATAGGGATAATCTACACTCCGTGAAAAAAACATGCTCAAAATATTTCATCAAAAAATAGCACCGGGAACAACCTCAAACGGTCTCGGCCGGTCGTCAGTAATTTCCGACCGGGTGGACATAATCTTTCCTCTATATATAAAACCTGTATTTGATTAGTTATGCAGATGTGTAAAAGATTTTATTTTAGTCTTAATTGATTATATCACATGATGTTCGATTTGTTAATTCATGAACACAGACATCAAATAGAGCTAATTTATTAGTTTTATGATTTTATTATCTGTTTATAATATCATAGGAATTATGACCTTGATTAACACCCGCTCTTTTTTGCGGTTATTTGTCCTAGTCAGCTAGTTCATTCGGCTTTCTATTCTCAAACAGCTCTCTTCACATTGTTCAGCTTTTTTTTGCCAACTCACATTCCACTACGTGCATTGGAAGTGAAAATAAATACACAATGTCTAAATTCATGACATGGCAGTCTTATACGAAGTATTATATATGTAGCTTCTTCCAACAGCGGGCGAAAGCTACACATATCCTTGAGGCGGATAAGGGCACAAGGTATTTCCACGCTATCGTCAACAGGAACAAGGCCAGGAATACCATTACGTCCATAAGGTTGGATGATGGTAGTCTCACTATTTCTATTGATCATGTTGGGAATGAATTTGTAAAATTTTTTGTTGATCTTTTTGGCACCGACATAGAAACCTTTTCCTTTGACCAAACGGTACTAGGAACCGGCCCTTTGATTGAACCAAGTGTTCATGATAGCCTATTATCTCCGATAACTAACAAAGAAATTAAAGATGATTTGTTTGATATTGGGGATGACAAGGCACCGGGGCCGGACGGCTATTCATCGGCGTTTTTTAAGAAAAATTGGAATGTTGTGGGGGGGATGTGACTCGGGCGATCAAAGAGTTTTTTAACTCGGGAAAGATGCTTAAACAGCTAAATCATACTGTGATAGCTCTAATTCCTAAAACTAGTCACTCCCCCATGGTCTCAGATTATAGACCTATTTCGTGTACTAATGTGCTTTACAAGATCATTACGAAGATTATTGCGGTAAGATTAATCCCTACCCTTTCGGGTTTGATTAACAAAGCACAAGGTGCGTTTGTGGATGGCCGCCTAATGTTTGATAACATTTTCCTCGCCCAGGAACTTGTTAGAGGATAAAATAGGAAGCGAATCTCACCTCGTTGTATGATTAAGGTGGATTTGCGCAAGACCTATGATACTATTTCTTGGGATTTTCTTGTCAATGTTCTTAAGGGTCTGGGCTACCCCGATTTATTTGTGGGTTGGATAATGGAGTGCGTTACTACCGCGTCTTTTTCTGTTTCGTTGAATGGAATTTTGCATGGTTTCTTTAAGGGTAAGCGTGACATTAGGCAAGGGGATCCAATGTCCCCGATGCTTTTCGTTCTATGCCTTGAGTACTTCTCTCGCCTTCTTACCATGAAATCTAAAGTATCGGGCTTTAACCACCACCCGCTTTGTGGGTCCTTGGGTATTATAACTCACTTGGCCTATGCGGATGATCTTATGCTCTTCTCGAGAGGAGACAAATACTCCATTGGAATATTGGTTGAGGCTCTTAATGAGTTTGGGGACTTATCGGGCCTAAGGGTTAACCATAACAAATCTAATATTTTTGTTGGTGGGGTTAATAGCTACGATTTGCAGGGTATTTTAGACCTCGTGGACTTTGATCGTGGAGCTTTCCTGGCGAGATATCTCGGTATCCCACTTGCGCCTTTAAAAATCTCCGTGGCCCAATATGCGCCACTCCTAGATACGGTAAATGATTTCTTAAGCACCTGGAACACCAAGACGATTTCATATGCAGGTAAACTTGAGCTAATACGATCGGTGATCCAAGGGGTCCAATCGTTTTGGCTCCAAGTGTTTCCGGTGCCTCAAACTGTTCTTGATAGAATTGTTTCGATATGTCGTATTTTTTTATGGGGTGGCAAATTCGCAAAGGTGGCTTGGGACGATATTTGCCTCCCCAAAGAGGAAGGCGGCCTTGGCATTCACAATGCTAAGATATGGAATCACGCCCTCCTTGCGCGCACCCTCTGGGATGTACATCTAAAGAAAGACACGCTTTGGGTTCGTTGGGTGAACAGTGTATACCTCAAGGGTAGAACCGTGTGGGATTTTGTCCCACAAACCCGAGACTCCCAGCTCATGAAGCGACTTAGTTTCATTCGAGATAAAATCCGGGGTTGTTTTAATAACTTAAATGATACGATTCTTGGTCTTAATTCCCGTTCCACAAATGGGAAATTAACCTCCGCCAAAATTTATGAATTACTTAGAGTTAAGGGTAATGTTAGGACTCCTATGAGTTTCATATGGAAATCCTACATTCCCCCCCAAACTATCTTTTAATGTATGGTTGGCTTTAAGAAACCGGCTTCCTACCCAGGATAGCCTCGGGTATCTACACATTGTGAATGGGTGTGAACTGTGCAAGGGTGGTTTGGAGACAATACCACACCTTTTTTCCCTTGGCCCTTTACTCGTAGGGTGTGGCAGCACATAAGGAACTGGATGAGACTTGGGCATGACATGACCACCTTGCTAAGTGCCGTGAAGTGGATTATGAAGACGCATTGAGGATCGACGCTGAAGGCAAAGGCAGCCCGCCTAGCTTTCTGCGCCACGGTTTATTATATCTGGCATGGGCGTAATGAGATACGATTTGAGGGGGGATCAAAGACGGAGGCAGATATTATTGCTAAGATCAAGCATGTGGTGTATAAGGTCCTATACAACTTATACCCGCATGAAATGATCAACTTTTGATGATGGATGTCGAAGCCGCGGCATAACCTCCTTGGACTTGTGTGTGCACCTTGCAACACATCGGACTTCTGGTTGAGGCTAAGGGGAGACTTCACTATAACCTCCTCTTGGCTGGGATGTTCGCATCTGTTTTTTGATGTATTGTTATGTTCTGTGTCGGTGCATCATGGCAGCACCGTTTTTTTGTGATTTTTGGGCATTTAGTATTGTATACTTAGGCCCTTTTTGAATTTTTGACCTTTGATTAGATCGAATAAAAACCTCTTCTTACCCCTACACTATGTAGGGGTGGGGGTTTTAGGAGATCTAGAACTCATGATGTATAGTTTTCTTTGGGTGTTAATATAAATTTAGATTTCATCCAAAAAAAATGACATGGCACATTATATATACACTAGAAAGTAGTGCATCCTCTAAAGATGCTCTAACACTCTTGTCGAGCTGGTTGGTGCGCGTGTTGTGGAATCTTTACTGGTCCCCGGGAATTTTGTCCATCTATGATTATTCTGCTGTCGAGAACCTCTCCATCTTTTCCTTTGGTCAGATTCACATGGGCAATTGCAAATGGGGCCACTTGATGGGTGGCCTTTTGGAATCACTTGTGTGTTTTAAAAAAATAGAATTGTACGTTGATATTGAATGTATAAGGTATAAATAAAATAAAAGTGATTTTAAGTCATATAAATATTACCATATACTTCATCTGTAACCGGGGAGGATCTAGGATTCCAAATCGGGGGTAAAATGTAATATATATATATAATAACTTTAACAGCAATATACGAAGTATTATATATGTATTTTATAATAGGTTATATTCTCAACAGATAACTACATTCATAAAATATTTTTGATTGTGCAGTCTTATTTTTGTCATATTTAGTCATATATGAATTAGTATATTTATAATGCATTAATTAATTATTAAAACCCTATTTTATCCTACCATGTTAGTTGTACAAAGTTATGTATACTACAAAAAACCTTAGAAAACAATGAGTTATAGTAGCCGATTTAGAATTCTTTAAATTTTTCTTCAAATTTCCGCGTTTTCCGGGTATCTAGACTTTGGCCATCCCGGGTCTGGTCCGAGTCTAAACGGGCTACCGGTTAAATCCGGTTTTTGGTCAATTAGCGGGTTAATATGTACTCGGACCGGGCTGGGTGTCGGGCCGCTGGTTTTGGGTTCGACCCGCCCGGGCCGGTTCGGGTCTTACAACATAGCTTTAAGTACTTCCTCCATGACTTAAATTGCGGAAAAATTACTAAGATATCGTTAGATTTTTCCTTCATTTATTTTAATTTTAATTTTTGCCGGTAAAAGGCACGTGAAAATTATCCAATCGTCAAAGTAACATGTTTTACGACGACTATGATATTATTGGCGGTGACGGTGACACTAGAGATAATAAAAATGACATAGATGTTGGTTACACTATCATTGAAAATGATATAACTAAATTGACATTATATTTTCCAAATTTATTAACCTCAGAGTCACATTTTTATCCATTTATAAAAGTAGTCACTTTTTTGTAAAATCAACTTTCATATAACAATAATATTGTGAATACTGTTCTAGGGAAAATTAATGTAAATGCTCCAAACTATAGAAAATGTGATATAAACATTCCAAACTTGCATATACTCGTATAATATAATCATCACGAACTTTAATTTATTAAGGATAAATATATTTTTGAAAGAAAAATATATGATGATGGTGCCAATATAATTTATATATAAAGTTTGGTTATATATAAAGTTTGGTTATTTATATTAAATATGCAAGTTTGAGATTCTAATCTAATACGAGAAGGCATTTAAATTATTTTTCCTTGTTGTAATATGCCAAAGTTATTGAAAATTTTAATTATGTACTCCTTCCATCCCTATAAAACCTGCAAATTCAACATTTTTGATTAACATAATTTTGTTTTATTTACTTAATTAATTAAGATATCAATTTGTAATTAATTTTTATACAAGTTATTAAATTTTGCGACTTTATAGAGATTTTAACGTAGTTCTTCGATATGGAGATTTTAATTATTGATACTGATTTAATTATTAGCGTAGACGATTTTACTTCATCCTGAGCCAATCTAAAAAATTATCAATCTCCATCATTTTGGAGAGAGAAAGTAATAATTACTCTTCCCGTCCTAATTTGATTTGCAAAATTTCCCATTTTGGATATGATTTTCCAGATTTTCGAGGTTCTCTTTTAAGTATGAAAAAATAATGAAATGACAAAGTAAATTATTTTTTATACTTTCTTTCCTAATTTTGTGCGAGTCAATTTTTTCAATTTTGCAATTCATTTTATTTATTCATTTGCTACTACTTAGCACCTACTACCACTCTTCTAAGCAGGATCGTAGTCAAAACACACTTAGATCGATGCAGGCAATTAGGTCGGCTGTTTCCCTTCAACCTGCCTCTGTTATTATCCTCCTCCTCCTGCTGCTGGTTCTTTCACCACCTCCGACCGCTAACACGGCAGAAACCACCACCACTACCATCACTAAAGGCACCAACATCACGAGACCGGGATGCCAACGAAAATGTGGAAACCTGACTGTGCCGTTCCCTTTCGGAGTGGGCTTCGGCTCCGATTGCGCTCTCATGCGGAGTATGGAAATCAACTGCAACACAGCAACCAATCCCCCAACTCCTGAATTAGGGAACATCCCCGTCTACGAGATCTCCGACTCCCAGCTTAGGGTCGCCACCTATGTTTCTCGAACATGTTACACCGAGAAGGGGGATGTCGACGTCCTGAGAGGAGACCCGGATAATTATGAGACGGACCTTACCAGACATGGTCCGTACACTTTCTCCGATAATAATAAGTTCACCGTTGTGGGTTGCGACGACGATGGTCACTTCAAAGGAACGGTACTCGGAGAAGGGAAGGAGTCAACCAATCACTGCCCTGCCTCCTGCGAAAACCCGGAGGACGTCAGCGGCGGGAGATGTACACCTACCGCCGGTTGCTGCGACCTCAGGATGGCGAAAGGGTTGACGTATGTTAGTATAACCAGTATAGTCTCCTCGCACAACCATACTAGAGTCTGGGACGCTAATCGCTGCGGGTACGCGTTTATTGCGGAAGCCGGCAAGTTTCATTTCCGCGGCTCTGATGACCTTAAAGATCCGGATTTTGGACGGAGAATTAAGGAAACTGTTCCGATTGTTATAGACTGGGCTATAGGGAACGTCTCTTGTGACGTCGCACCGAAGACAGACGGTTATGCATGCAAGGGAAAGAGTGAATGCTGCAACGCTGAAAATGATTCCGGAGGTTACCGTTGTAAATGTATAGCTGGTTATGAGGGTAATCCTTATATCGATAACGGCTGCCAAGGTACATCATTATTAATGGAGAAAAAGGTCAAATCAGGCCTTCTACTATTATGAAATTGTCACATAAGGTCATGTACTCAATAAAGTGTCATATAAGTATATCTATTTCTAAAAAGCAATCAAATGAGTCCTAATGACCTATTTAACACCTCTTAATCCCGGTTTCAACGTACTTCTGACCATCTTTTTAGAATACATCATACGACATATGTCGAATATTTAACCAAGATTGGTTGAAATACAAGTCAAAAAAATCGACATGTAACCTAAAATACGGATTAGGAGGTGTTAAATAAGCCGTCAGGACTCATTTGATTGCTTTATACAAGTAGAGGTACTTATATGACACTTTGTTGAGTACATGGCCTTATGTGACTATATTCATCATAGTAGAAGGCCTTATTTGACCCTTTTATCTTATTAATTGATGGGATTCTGTAAATACCATTAAATAATTTCTAAATTGTAATGAAGTTTAAATTTTCAAAATAAAAGTAATTGTTTTGATAACTTCCAATTATTAAAATTTAAGCCTCCACCGTCATTCGACGTATTCCACCACCAACTCCAATCGAAGACATTTGATTTAGAAATGTCATATTTATGACATTTTCATAATAAAATTGAATTTTTATAAATATTTTCAAAAACTAAGATTGTCTAATTTGTGACATTTTATTTAAAAAAATGACATTTTTTCACCGATCCGATGTGACTCTACTACTGGAAGGCGTCAAAGGTCTACATATTTTTTTTGAGAAAATTACATTAATATTACTAATAGTCTTTGCTTTTCAAAAAATATGATTGAAATGATGTTTTTCAAAAAATGTGACTTGATTTTAGTGACCTCCAGTGACCATCAAAATTTCTTAATGACGCGCTCCAGTGACATCCAGTGACCATCGAAATTCTTATTAATGATATACTTAGTCACATTTTTGGAAAAACTCAAAAGTAGTCACATTTTTGTCTTTTATATTTTGTTTAGTAATATTTAAATAAAAAGGCCTTTTTTTAAAAAAAAAATTAAGTTATTAAAAGCTCATAAGCTGTTAATTAAAATGTGATAAAAGTAAAATAGGATAAAATATTCCTATTTTGGGAATAAAAAATGTATGTTCCTTTTTTTGAATATTAATAATAATTTACTCTTATTTGGAGTGATTTCCACTTATTACTTCAACCCCTTTCCCAAAATAAGAGTAAAAATAATATAAAATTCAAAAATATGATTTCAATTTTTAAATTTTTAAATATGATTATATAGTGCTATTATTTTGGACGTGTCAGGTATAAACTTGACAGTATTTTCCTAAAGTGACTTTAATACTTATTTTTTGTAAATAAAAATACAACACTCCTATTTTTAAATTTCAAAATTTTTAAACTACGGACTATTTTTCGATAATCAATCATCTAGAACAAAAAGATGAACTACATGTGGAAGTACGGAGTAGTTTTTTGTCACTTTTTACTAAGCCGTGCGTGAGGGTAAACCACTAAACGGAAATTTGCTTTTCCAGTACCCATTACCGAACCGAAATAAATCGGTTTGGTTCAATAAAAATCGAAAAAAACGGTGTGGTATTTGGTAAAACCGAAATACCAAATGTCTAATCATCACTTTCATATTTAGAGCAATGTCAATATTACTAAACATATGAATTCAATAAAAACAATATTTATGAGTCATTATTACACATTTTAAAATTGAACATTAAGATCCTATAATTGCCAAGTCATATATTTAGCAAATAGTACACAAAACAAATTGAATTATAATGTGGCTAAGCTTGTTTTGAACCGGCTAGATTAAATGTTAGGAATTGAGATATTTTGAAATTAGAAGAGATTCTATTTGGGTTGGGCTATGTTGTGTCTTAAATATAAACAACTATATTTGGGTTGTGCTAAAAATCTAAAATATGTAACAAATCATACTATCTTTGTTCTTAAATAAGTGCAACATGTTCATTTTTGTACTATTCACATTTATAATAAAAATACTATTGTACCATCGATTCTTTTACCCTTATCTTTTTTACTTTTTTTCTTTTCAATACTTTACTCTTACAAACTAATTTATCTTTCTTACTTTTTCCATTTACCCACCCACTATATTACCCGTACTATTTTCTTCTTAAACTCCGTGTCAAACCTACATGGACAATTAAAAAAGAACGAAGGGAGTATTAAATTTGTCTTAAAGTGAGTTTTTAAAATATTAACTTTTTATAATTTTTACTAATACACAATTAAAGATAATTACAGTCAAAGTTGTGTGTTGGCAAACGCAAAACTCAAACTGTTGCATTTATTTAAGAACGAAAGTAGCATATAATTTCGGTATTCGGTAAAAACCAAAAACCAAAAAACAGAAAAGTATACGAACCGAATACCAAATTTTTAGAAAAATATGTACCAATTACCGAATCTAAATTTCGATTCGGTATTTGATATGTACCAAATTTAGGTTTCGGTTTGGTTTGGTGGGTACCGAATTTTGCACACCCCTAGGTAGAGAGTAATAATTAATGATTTAACTACTCTTTCTTATAGATATTAATGAGTGCGAAGGTCCAAATGGGAATCCTTGTGGCGATCAGATATGCACAAACACACCGGGAAACAATACATGTTCTTGCCCCAAAGGGTACAAAAGCGATGGTAAAAAAAGTTGTGTCAAGCCAGAACCCCCCTGGATCAAAGTTTCCATTGGTAAATACTCTCTCAGATCCGTCCAATTATAATTGTCTCATTTTCTCCTTCACTATAATTGTTCCGTATCATACTTGGTTATATTTTTGTGATTCAAAATGATTCTTATTTTATTTACAATATATCAATTTATTATCAAATACATAATTTTATTTTCTTCTTTAAAAATACACAACCATCTCTTATCTCAATCTTTTTAGGACGTACTTCATTTTTTAGATCTCCCGATTTGATTGACATAAATAACACAACATAACACGTAGTATTCTTTTTTGAATGAATTCCCTAAATAAGAGTAAAACATATGATTAAGTGCACAAATAGGAGTTAATCTTAATATTTCCTAAATAGGACTAATAGTGTGTTATTAGACAAAAATGCCCCCAAATTAAATTAAAGTACAAATCATTGGATTTTTTTTTTAATTATTAAAAAAATTCAACAAACTATAAACAAAATATCCAGCCGCCGTCAGACCGCCGTCGGCCACTGCCGGCCACCCGGACCCCGCCGGACCCGCCACCGGCAACCCCGGACCCCGCCGAACCTGCCGCTACCACCGCCGGACAAGCCACCACCACCGCCGGACAAGCCACCACCACCGCCGGACCCCGCCGCCACCGCCGAACTGCCCCCGCTACCAACTAATTGCCCCGCCACGAACGAATTGCCCTTGTTTATGCAAGAGAATTAGGAGGGCAATTATTTGTATTAATTAATTGAGTTAAGGGTAAAAAAGTAACGTGGAGTCTTATTTAGGGAATAAATCAATATTAGGTCCTATTTAGGGAATTATGTTTAATTTTACTCCGATTTAGGTTAATTTCTATTCTTTTTTCTTCTTTTAAATTATGATTAAGAACACCCACAAGCTTTGTTGACTAAATTTGTCATTTTACACATCGCTTGTGTTTATATTTTTGTGAGATCATAATACCTTTTTCTAAAATGTTAGTGCATTTACAAAATGCCGGTTGATATTGCTATAATTATTTTCCCTGTAATTTCCTTAAATTTGTGTTTACTCCGGACATATGATATACCTGATGATTTCGTATATTGTGGAATATGCGGTTGGTGAGCATCATATATTCATTTCAAAAAATGTCTATCCCACTATAAAATTGAAGAAATACCACAACACAGAAAGACGCTAATGAGATTGAAGTGTATTAATATTTCATTTATAAAAAAATCTACTAGTTTATATTTATTAGTTTTAGAAATCGTGTGATATTATTAGTAGTATATTATTGTGAAGGAATAATCTACGGGAGTTGATTTCGAAAAAGTGACTATTTTTATATATGAATAAAATTGTGACAGTTATGTCACTTTAGTTATATCACTTCAATGTGCCCAACACCCTATATAGTGATAGTGTGACTAACACCTATGTTACTTTAATCACATTTTTGGAAAAATAAAAAACTAGTTATATTTTTGTCTTTTTCATAGTATTTTAATATTCTCTTGTAATACTTTTGTCATTTTTATAGTCTACTAATATTTCATTTGTAAATTGATGTTGTTTTAACATTAACATTCTCACTACTCTATATCTCTATGACTAGTCTTTAATTTGTGAACAACTCACTCTTAAAAGCAATTTATAAAAATGCGCAATATTTCATTATACACCTGGTCCACCCCATTAACTCATAGATGATGGGTGGATTGTATGTGGATGAAGTGTGATCGGGTGATGAGTGGATCAGGTGGTGGATGTAGAATTGACGGGTGGATGTGGGTGACCCTCCATCCGATCCAAACTCGGTCCATTGCAATTCCTTAAAAATGATATCGTTTCAAAAACTCTGTCACTAAGTCATAAAGTAAGAGACAAATTATTAATATATAAAATCACGCTATTATTCATTACCTTTATTATTAAGTCACACTACTTAATGAGTTTAAGAAGCTATTCACGACTTTAAGAAATGCACTAGTCATCATTTTAGGGAAGTGGTTGGCCACCCACCCCCAAAATCTCTCCTTGTGGGAGGTCTTGTGTTCAATTCCCATAGAAGGTGAATTGGGAGATTTTTCTCTCAATGATGATCCTCTAGTCCAACGAGTATGAACAAGTGGCCAGATCAATTCAGAAAATCTCGCTTCCAGCGGCAGTGTGAGAGTTTTCTTTCCTCTAGGAACCCGAGACATGGAACAATCAGTAATTGCTTTCGGAACTTTACTGGGAACCTGGGAGTGTTGTCCAATCAGTTGGGGTCAATTCCTTGTGCACAGAAGTGTACAGATCAATGAGGAACCTGAGAGGCGACTTGAAAGTTTCGGATTTACATCTCCAAGAATTTTGGGACTGGGTTCTTGGAGTTCAGGATATAGTTCGGCGAAACTGGAATATCTGGGTTATAAAAAAAGAGTCATCGTTTCAAAAAAACTGACATTATATTTGATAAAATACGAAAATTTTAGTGAGCTCGTATCGTGGTTGAGCCTTGTGTATGATGTGTCACACATCTGGAGTAGTTGGTGTAAATTTAAATTTAAAATGGAATAATTGAGCAGTTATGAGTGTGCCAGGTAATCTAATGTGCTCAGTGTCGTAGATTAGGAGGTTCAATAGTTTCTTCAGAATAGGCCTCCCAATTTGGGGGGCCTCCATTTTTTTTAAAATAATAATGTATATAAAAAATCATAATAGTATATAAATACTAATGTGAATAATAAATATTAATCCAAAAAAAATCCCACTTCTAATTATTTAGATTTTTGAAGAATTTAAAAGAGAAGAATGATATTTTTAAAGTGAGCGTTTCTTTTTTTATTAATTACTTAAAGTTATAAGGCCTCATTTTAGTATATAGAACTGGGCCTTAAAATTTATTTGACGGCAATGAATGTACTCATTATTGAGCACATAGTGTGCTCAGTAAAATTACTCTGATAAAGTATGCAAGTGGATATTCTTTTTCTCTTAGATGATTTTTTGGTTGCGATTAATGTTTCTCACTTTCATTCGTACGTAGTATTATTCAAAAGTGGTTTTACAAAAATATTACTAAAGTAAAATTTATGGATAATGATGTGACTAAAGTTACTAGAGTTATAATTTTACAGTCACTATAGTATATAAATTTAACATGATCGTGATAACTAAAAGTTATCAAGTCACGTTAAGTTTGGAATTATTTCTTATATAAATGATCTCATTTCTATTTTAAAAAAGAGGTAAGTCTTTTAAATGATAAGTTTATAAAATAATTCTAAATATATGATCAAAAATTTATTGTGCAAAAATATGATGATAGGATGATGACTATAATACATGATCATAGCTAGTAACTTAATAATATTTTCCTCAATAAGTTTTAGTTTAGTCATTTTTTCTATAATATTACTAAATTAGATTTAGAAGATTAAAATGTGACATGTTTTACAATTTACCAAAAATGTGACTTATATAGTGATTTATGTATAGTGACTGATCATCTACAATTACGAGCTTACTTTAAGATACACTATAATAACTACTCATTCATAGTGACAATTCATATATTTGTCCAAAAATATAACTAGCCCTTTTTTTGTCTAAAGAAACTCTCATAACAATATAAATTTAATTTTTTTTCTTTATTTTACTAATACTTTTGGAAAAACTCCTAAATTTATCAACACATATTAAAATTAATACACTCATTACATCATCACTAAATCAATTACTCCATCATATTATATAGCCACTTAAATTACTTTCCATACTATACTCAAATTATTATTTTTAAATTACTTTAAAAAAATATGTCATTTTAATAGGAATTTTAAATGTTTATTTAAATTGGTAATAACATGTTATTTTTATATAATCTCACTAGACACCCATCTAAAATTGCAGGTGTGGGGATAGGCCTTATGGTCTTGGTTCTTGGAGTAACACGATTGTACTGCTTCTTTAAGAAAAGAAGACTCATCCGACTTCGAGAGAAATTCTTTCGACAAAATGGCGGTTTAATCTTGAACCAGAGAATAGCCAACATAACAGACAGGACTGGAGTAGATGCGCCGAAAATCTTCACCGCCGTGGAGTTGAAAAGAGCCACCAATGACTACTCAAGTGCCGAACTCGGCCGCGGAGGAAACAGCGTCGTTTACAAGGGCATCCTACGCGACAACCGTGTTGTCGCCATCAAGAAATCTAAAACCATGGACGAGAGCAAAATCAGCGAATTCATCAACGAAGTGATCATCCTCACTCAGATCAACCACCGGAATGTAGTCAGGCTCCTTGGTTGCTGTCTCGAGGTCAAAGTTCCGATATTGGTCTACGAATACGTCTCTCACGGCACTCTCTATGAGCACATCCACAAAGACGGCGGTAGCTCGGATTGGCTGTCGTGGGAAACCCGATTAAGAATAGCCGTAGAAGCTGCCTGCGCACTCGTCTACCTCCACTCAGCCGCAGTAATACCTATATTCCACCGAGATGTAAAATCCGCTAATATATTACTAGACGAAAATTACATCGCAAAAGTTTCTGATTTCGGCGCGTCCAGATTAATCCCTCCGGATCAAACCCACATAGCCACTTTGGGCCAAGGAACGTTCGGGTATTGGGACCTGGAATACTTCCGAACGGGTGAATTCACCGAAAAGAGCGACGTGTACAGTTTCGGAGTCGTTATTTGCGAGCTTCTGACCGGGATGAAAGCGGTTTCGAGGGAAAGAAGCGAGGAGAAGAAGAATTTGGCCATGTATGTGGTCAGATCCATGGACAAGAATCAATTGTTCAAAATTCTGGATCGGTGCGTTTTGAGGGAGGCGCCATTGGAGCAAGTGGAGAGAGTTGCAGATCTGGCGAGGAGATGCGTTCGACCGAAGGGAAAAGATAGGCCTACGATGAAGGAAGTGGTGATGGAGCTTGAAAGGTTGCGAAAGATGAATAAAGAGACATGGGGTCAGGGAGCCCGAATACCGCGGAATGTTGTTGTAAATGTTGATCAAATGAACGGCCATGGTGGGTCGTCCTCACCGTCTGACCTTTATTCGCTTCAACTGAATTCTACGGCTCGCACGAGTGAATATTCTTGCGAAACATAATTCCCGTTAATACCACGAAATGATGTTATTCTTGCGGGTCAAATGAACCGCCAGAATATATGGGCCGATCAGACCCTTTTAAATTGATCAATTGTAGCATTATTTGAAATCTTAAATGGATCAATTTCTGCGCTAAATCATTACGTCACAACCCTTTTAAATAGGGTTTAACCACTCAATTGTATGGATGATTGAATGAATATCCACTTTTGGCTATGTTCGGCAATACTAGCTGAAACTAACACCTATTATATTGCTTGAAAGAAAAAGCCGGAACTAAGAGTTGTTTTTTCAACTGCCGGCTGAATGAAACATACTTGTTTGGAAAAATAGCTGAAATCTTATCAATAAAATATAAAATTACATTAAAAGATATACTACATTAAAAATATAAAATTGCATTAAAGGAGTATATAATTTATTAATAGCAAAAATATATATAATTCATTTTGCCATTTTTGTTCCGCATCATAGCTTCGCATCGCGTCCAACCAGGTACATAAGGCACATCCACATTTAGCTTATTTTTGTTGATCGGTTTCTGCCATTGAACTGCTTGTATCTGATAATACTTGAACCCAAAATCACTTGAAATTTACCACAGTTGTTTTTCTATTGAATCCGTTTTTAACTCTATTTTAATATAGAAAGATTATATCAAAGCATCATATAGACTTAAAATACTAAATACTAAATGAAGGTTACGTATTACACAAACATAACCCCGTTGACTTCAAAACGGAGACAATATTCGACGTAATTGACTTGATTATATATTGATGTATTTAGTTCGATTTGAATCCGTTTTTAACTCTATTTTAATATAGAAAGATTATATCAAAGTATCATATAGACTTAAAATACTAAATACTAAATGAAGGTTACGTATTACACAAACATAACCCCGTTGACTTCAAAACGGAGACAATATTCGACGTAATTGACTTGATTATATATTGATGTATTTAGTTCGATTTGAATCCGTTTTTAACTCTATTTTAATATAGAAAGATTATATCAAAGTATCATATAGACTTAAAATACTAAATACTAAATGAAGGTTACGTATTACACAAACAAAACCCCGTTGACTTCAAAACGGAGACAATATTCGACGTAATTGACTTGATTATATATTGATGTATTTAGTTCGATTTGAATCCGTTTTTAACTCTATTTTAATATAGAAAGATTATATCAAAGTATCATATAGACTTAAAATACTAAATACTAAATGAAGGTTACGTATTACACAAACAAAACCCCGTTGACTTCAAAAGGAGACAATATTCGACGTAATTGAATTGATTATATATTGATGTATTTAGTTCGATTTGAATCCGTTTTTAACTCTATTTTAATATAGAAACATTATATCAAAGTATCATATAGACTTAAAATACTAAATACTAAATGAAGGTTACGTATTACACAAACAAAACTCCGTTGACTTCAAAACGGAGACAATATTCGACGTAATTGAATTAATTATATATTGATGTATTTAGTTCGATTTGAATCCGTTTTTATCTCTATTTCAATATAGAAAGATTATATCAAAGCATCATATAGACTTAAAATACTAAACACTAAATGAAGGTTACGTATTACACAAACAAAACCCCGTTGACTTCAAAACGGAGACAATATTCGACGTAATTGAATTGATTATATATTGATGTATTTAGTTCGATTTGAATCCGTTTTTAACTCTATTTAAATATAGAAAGATGATATCAAAGCATCATATAGACTTAAAATACTAAATACTAAATGAAGGTTACGTATTACACAAACATAACCCCGTTGACTTCAAAACGGAGACAATATTCGACGTAATTGAATTGATTATATATTGATGTATTTAGTTCGATTTGAATCCGTTTTTAACTCTATTTTAATATAGAAAGATTATATCAAAGTATCATATAGACTTAAAATACTAAATACTAAATGAAGGTTACGTATTACACAAACAAAACCCCGTTGACTTCAAAACGGAGACAATATTCGACGTAATTGAATTGATTATATATTGATGTATTTAGTTCGATTTAAATCCGTTTTTAACTCTATTTTAATATAGAAAGATTATATCAAAGCATCATCTAGACGTAAAATACTAAATACTAAATGAAGGTTACGTATTACACAAACAAAACCCCGTTGACTTTAAAACGGAGACAATATTCGACGTAATTGAATTGATTATATATTGATGTATTTAGTTCGATTTGAATCCGTTTTTATCTCTATTTCAATATAGAAAGATTATATCAAAGCATCATATAGACTTAAAATACTAAACACTAAATGAAGGTTACGTATTACACAAACAAAACCCCGTTGACTTCAAAAGGAGACAATATTCGACGTAATTGAATTGATTATATATTGATGTATTTAGTTCGGTTTGAATCCGTTTTTAACTCTATTTTAATATAGAAGGATTATATCAAAATATCATATAGACTTAAAATACTAAATACTAAATGAAGGTTACGTATTACACAAACAAAACCCCGTTGACTTCAAAACGGAGACAATGTTCGACGTAATTGAATTGATTATATATTGATGTATTTAGTTAGATTTGAATCCGTTTTTAACTCTATTTTAATATAGGAAGATTATATCAAAGCATCATATAGACTTAAAATACTAAATACTAAATGAAGGTTACGTATTACACAAACAAAACCCCGTTGACTTCAAAACGGAGACAATATTCGACGTAATTGAATTGATTATATATTGATGTATTTAGTTCGATTTGAATCCGCTTTTAACTCTTTTTTAATATAGAAAGATTATATCAAAGCATCATATAGACTTAAAATACTAAATACTAAATGAAGGTTACGTATTATAAACAAAACCCCGTTGACTTCAAAACGGAGACAATATTCGACGTAATTGATCAATTGATTATATATTGATGAATTTAGTTCGATTTGAATCCGTTTTTAACTCTAATTTAATATAGAAAGATTATATCAAAGAATAATATAGACTTAAAATACTAAATACTAAATGAAGGTTACGTATTACACAAACAAAACCCCGTTGACTTCAAAACGGAGACAATATTCGACGTAATTGAATTGATTATATATTGATGTATTTAGTTCGATTTGAATCCGTTTTTAACTCTATTTTAATATAGAGAGATTATATCAATGCATCATATAGACTTAAAATGTAACACCGACCCCGGGCATATTTACTTTTAGTGAATTATGTAATAAACCTTGAAAGATGATTTATGAATTTGCGTAATTGTAAATTTTTATTTTTCTTTTGCGTGAATAGTAAATTGCATGTGGGCCCCACAGCGGGAACGGGGACCGCCCGATAATTCCCGAACCACATATTATATTCATCTTGGTCTAGATAATATGTATATGTTGGTGGATATTTTATTTGGGCCATAAGAAAGGCATGAAGTCGACCGGTTGGTCAAACGGGACCCAATTACCGGTATTGGCAATTTAACGGATAACAACCCGAAATGAGTTTCGGAGGCTCCTAAATTAATGTTGGGGAATGTACATCTATTCTAAAGGTCCATAATTAATTAGGAACACGTGATATATTTTATTTGGCCCGATAAAATAAAATATAATTAAAACATTCCGAGAAATACAACTTTCGGGACCGATTGTACACACCGGGACATATTGGGATGACCTCCCACATAAGTGGGGGTCACCCCACGTTTTTATGTGCTCTAAGTTGACAAATTAGAGCTGGGAGGACACCAGAACATGGGAGGGGCGAGCAGTAGGTGGGAGGTCTCATTGAGACAACAAACCCATACCCATGTGTCTTCCTACACAATTATATTGTGTGGAGTGAAGAGAAACCCCCACCCCATTTGCAATCATACGGACCACTCATAGAGGGAGAGCTCCGAGGGATAACTCTCAAGAAGCTCAAGCTTGAAGGAAGCAAGAGGAGAGGAAATCCAAGAAGAAAAACATAGTGTTTGAGGTAAGAACTCAATGAATATTCTTTTAACTAGTTTTATGGTGTATGATTTTTAAGAAATCATATGGTGGATTAAACATGATGTTCTACACGTTTAAAGGTGTAGAATATTGATATAAAGTGGTGATATTTAACTTAGAAGAGTTGGTGAATCGATAGGAGTCGAAATCGCTGGAAACCGTCACTTTAAGGGAGCTGCCCGTTTCTGCAGAACACGAAAGCCGCCCGGCTTTCGTGAAAGCCGCCCGGCTTTTGACCAGGCAGTCCAGTTTTTGCCTTTCATCGGTTTGAAACGAGGATTTATCGGGGAGCTCAACGAAGGCAACTATTTCAGCACATCATAAGGTGAAGATGGCTGACTATATTGCTTATAATTAGTGAGTTAATTTCATAAGATTGCCTAAAGTAATTCGATGGGATTTTCATGGATTATTAATGATTAATAATGCCTAAATGAAAATAATATAGATATGAGTAAGTGAAGCATGATATACAAATTTAGAATGATTGTGTATGATCATGTGAAATGAATGGAACGACATGTTAATGGAATTACTATGATGACATTGTGATAAAATATATTTTACTTCATGTATGAATTTCATGAATGGATTAAAGTGATATTTTTTGATATTGAGATCAAACTATACTTGGGTTGGGAAATCAATTGAAATGAAATGCCAATTGGAAAATAGGAATTTGGCATGTTCTAAGATTATACAATTAGTATCAAAATACTAGTTGTGGAAATTATATAAATAAATGATGAAACAAATCCCAAGAGGTAGGATTGTGAATAGGTATGCCTTAAGTAGTCTCAAGTGATACTTAAGGTTGAATTGTATGAACACTAAGGTGTAATAGGGGTAGGCCTAAAGGCCACCTACGAAAAATTGATTCTAGGCATAGGATTTGCTTGGGAATTTGATTATGAAAATAATTAGAGTTGGACTTTAGGATGACATGGGAATGTAGTTGGGCCGAGCCCATGCCATGTAATATGATTAGCATGGAAACGTAGTTGGGCCGAGCCCTTGCCATGTATATGTGATCTCGGTGGAAACGTAGTTGGGCCGAGCCCTTACCGCGAAGTTATGGTTGGTATGGAAACGTAGTTGGGCCGAGCCCTTGCCATACAAATTTTGACATGTTATATTGAGTTAGAGGATTGTATAGAAATGTAGTTGGGCCGAGCCCATGCTATACAATTGGGGCTCGATGGGACCCCACGGGGTTATCGTGACTTGCGGTCA